TTATCCAAAGAGTGATTGCGTTCAAAGAATACATGTACAACAGCCAATATAAATCCTTGTATTAGAAACGGTTTGTCTTGCTTTGTTTCATTTGTAGGATATTTCATATGCCAAGCTGTGTGCTATTACGTTATGGGGAAATTTAGATGCCAATTTTTCCTTATTATACACAAATAGAAGATCCTGAAACTTCACCCATAACTGTGGAATTGATTTGTCAAAATAAAAATCACCCTTTAATAAATGTGTGACGATCTACAATATACTTATGCTATATAACAGTTAGAGGTGTTGACACAACGACCTCGAACCTGTGAACCCTTGAGTATTATTCCGGGATCGGGCCTTTTATACTAAACGGTGAGCAACACCAGAAACGAGCGTTCGATTTGCTAAACGATATGCGTCACCCTTTAACATTTATCCAGAATGTGGAAAAACTAATCAGTTCTAAACTTTCATAGGTAGAAACATCCCTGAGAATTTCAAATGAATCCCTCAAACGGTTTGGCTGGAAGCCTGTAGCCAAGCCTTGACAGACAAGATTTTAGGACGGAAAATCCAAAATGGCCGCCTTAACATTTACCCAGAATGCCGAAAAACTAATCAGTTCTAAACTTTCATAGGTAGAAACATCCCTGAGAATTTCAAATGAATCCCTCAAACGGTTTGGCAGGAAACTGTAGACAGGCCTTGACAGACAAGATTTTAGGATGGAAAATCCAAAATGGCCGCCTTAACATTTACCCAGAATGCCGAAAACCTAATCAGTTCTAAACTTTCATAGGTAGAAACATCCCTGAGAATTATAAATGAATCCCTCAAACAGTTTGGTTGGAAACCTATAGACAAGCCTTGACAGACGAGATTTTAGGACGGAAAATCCAAAATGGCCACATTTACCCAGAATGCCGAAAAACTAATCAGTTCTAAACTTTCATAAATAACATCCCTGAGAATTTCAAATGAATCCCTCAAACGGTTTGGCTGGAAACCTGTAGACAAGCCTTGACAGACAAGATTTTAGGATGGAAAATCCAAAATGGCTGCCTTAACATTTACCCAGAATGCCGAAAAACTAATCAGTTCTAAACTTTCATAGGTAGAAACATCCCTGAGAATTTCAAATGAATCCCTCAAACGGTTTGGCTGGAAACCTGTAGACAAGCCTTGACAGACAAGATTTTAGGATGGAAAATCCAAAATGGCCGCCTTAACATTTACCCAGAATGCCGAAAAACTAATCAGTTCTAAACTTTCATAGGTAGAAACATCTCTGAGAATTTCAAATGAATCTCTCAAACGGTTTGGCTGGAAACCTGTAGACAAGATTATTCGGGACAACCGCCCGCCCGCCCGGCAAACTGATTACAATATAGCACCTTAGTGCGATAACAAAAAAGTAATCGTTGAAACATGTTACTCACACACTTGCTCAAATATGACACAAAGTTTGATTTGCTTTGATATTAGACCAAGAAAAAAATAACTCACATAGAAAAAAGCATTTGAAGTTCAGAGATCATTAGACATACATGCACATGTTAAACAAAGTGCATGTTATAAATGACTAGATTGATGTAAAAGATGGAGACACTTCTATTAAAATGAATGTATCATGTAATACAAACAACTTCGCCATCTTTCAATGACATTGATAAAAACTTCATATTAAAGCTTGGCAGATCAAAAATATTTTTGATAATTTATTGTAAGCTTTGATGTGGTCCATTTGAGCTGTTATTGGTGTCAAATGAAAGATATGGTTCTTATCAATACATTGGACATACTATGAAATTTAAATGTAAGTCTTTATTTTACCCCAAAATTTTGAAAATTCCCAAAGTGGGCCTTTAATGGTCCTTTTTCCATATAGCTTTGAAATCTTGTTAAAGTCTCGTTTTTAATGAGATTTTAAGATCTGCATTTTTTATCATTAAAGACTAACATTTTCTTCTACTTTATGGCATATTTTAATTCTGTGTGTAATTTTCTATCAAAACAACTTTGAATCGCACCATTATTTACCTTTATTCAAATTCTAATGATTTTCTAGTTGTCTAAAAAGGTCGGGCTAAATCCACATTGACACAAGGCTGAAAAACCTTTAAAAGTTCATTTACTCTTACAAGGATCACACTTTTAATGTGAAATCACAATCCACATGTCAATAAGATAATATAGTTATATCCCAATGGTGTTTTAAGTTGGTCCAAATTGAATTATTTATTAAATCAAGAAAATAAGTGACTCTGGTAATACATTTACATGTATTCTAGTCCTACTCAAGCCCGACCAATACCCATGATGCCATCTATTTTCTATTTATATGGAAAAAGATCAATTGGTATTAAAATACATCCTAGATTGTTAAATATAAATCAGAATCAGAACAGTCAACTGAATTTACTTTTAAAATCTCCGCAATATTGTAAAAATGTCAGGAGTTCTTGATCCCTGATGAATATACATGTAACCGTACATATACTGAAATGGTTTGTTTCTTGATATATGTGCAGTAACAGCATTGGTTGTTATGTCTGTCCAAGCAAAATCTGGTTTGTATCCCCAAAACAATGATGAGGAAAAGACCAAGTAAAGAATGTAATAAGGTATATTTCTTCTTATTGCTATGTTGCAGGAATACTGTACTCCCGGTTAATTTTGCAAGTTTTAATTTCGCAGATTTTGAGAAAACACGAAACTAAATCGCAACCGAAAAATACCGGGAGTACAGTATAAGATTATGTTGGGCCCCCTCCTAAAAGTATGACATGTCTGGGATAAAAAGTGTAGTGAGAAAAGACATAATATAAATCAAAATGCACTTCATGTCATTATACTAATAAACCTGTAGTGTATCAGGGTATATGACACTAAAATTTCAAAAATGCATGATGAATATGATCTAGATTTCTTTCGTACTTACAAATTTCTTCACCTGATTACGTTCATGCCTAAATGCCATCTAGGGGTAACTATTTAAAGTGATTATAACTAAAATTCATGGAACAACACACAGTGAATAAATGTTTATCGATAATAATAGTGCTTCCCTTTGATAACTGCATTAATTTTAAAAACACAAACAATAACAAAAAATGATCAGAGAGAAAGATCACGCCTTAAAATTAATAATCATAAACTCGATTTCATCTCCTGACTAGCTAGAACAAGGGCGAACGTAATACCCCGAACATTCACAAATTGGCGTTTGGTTTTTTACCGCATCCGATTTGAATTAGCCAATAAACATTTAGGGGAGGGAGGGGATTTTTGTTATGCTTTGAATGGAACAAGTTTGAAGAAAAACGGTGCAGTATGAGACTCGTAATCCTTGATTTTCAAACATCCTGTAGGTCAAAAATTCAAATTAACGGTCGAAATTAGGACTGCATGCCACTAGACTAGCTTACTTTCAACCCCAAAATTTCGATACACAAGCAGTTGTGGGGGTCCTTTGAAAAATCAACCCAATATGATGTTACAGTTGGGGACATAAATAAATGACAGGTGGATTTGCTGAAGTGAGGATTTCCCATGTTAAAAATAAGAGAATTTACAAGAGGCCATAAATCAGTGGATGAGATTATACAAAATGTAAAATATACAAATTTTAAGGGATATGTATCTAGACAATATTAGAAATTATGGGCTTTCAGACCACCATAATTAGGAAATGGTTTACTGAACACAGCTGGCTCAAAAGCCAGCTGAAGCACCGTTAGAATATACCGTCCTGTGAAGCGGTTTTCTCCAACTTCCAGCAGGCGCGCTGGAATAAGAAACGGTATTTAAGAAGATAATTGAATGTAACTTGCCCTTTTCATCACGCGTGGTGACAATAAGTCCTACTTCTTGTGTAATTGCAGTTAAAATGGAGAAATTCCAAATCTGGCGCGCACCATTTTTTAACTTTTTACGCATGCGTGCACATGCGCATTGTACTTTTATGCGCATGGCAGGAGGAGTGAGTAGCTCCCATAATTCTTTCATATTCTATCGTATTCGGGGATTCCCCATTACATCATCTCTTGCACCATCTCCAATGAAATTGCAGGATTCGATCACGTGAACAAACCTTAGCGCGTGCTCTCTCATTGCTGCGCATGCGCAAAGTTAAATTTGAAATCGTGGGAATGGCGTTAACATCAGTTCAACATCATCATTTCAAGCCTACGGTAATACTATTGAAGTTACTCAATCCATACTTGTACAGAATACTCATAAAACTACAGTGAACATTTGGAGATCCATTTTAACGGCAAATTGAAGCCTGTTTATAAAATTTGTTTTCGAACGTGCTAATATGATAGGGCATCTTTGGGAAATCTCCCCCCCTGTGCGCATGGGTATTACCGCTGAGAGATCACGTGACTATATCATATTTAGCTAGTGCGAGTTATTTTGTAGCAAATTTTTACTTTCGAAAGTCACGAGATCTCGCGTGACCTAAAATGGCTGGAATCTAAATTCAAAAGTTTTGATGTCTACAAGAACATTGATTTACTACAACAACAGACTGTTGAAGGAACAAAATAAGGTAACAACAAATAAATTATGTATTGATTCAAATATATAGCGTATTATAAACGCTACTCAGTACAGCGTTTAGTCAAAATGGGCTCGATTTATTCTTTTCAAGTTCACATACATCCAACTTCCCAGAGCTGACTTCTGTCAGCTCGGTAGAGTAAGAAATGGTGATCGAAAATCGACCTGTCATTTATTTTTGTCCCCAACTGTATACTTGATCTATGGTGTTGCAATCCTTTTGTGGGATTTGTAAAATAAAGTGGTGACTAAACTCCAACAATATAATGATATGCTTGCCCTGCAATCTATGAATGCAAAGATTAATCTACACTGGTTGATAAACATTTAAATTTTTGTGTCCCAAATTGAATAGATGTCAGGGTACCGATTTTTTAGCGTCAATTTTCAGTAATTCCAAGAATGAAAACTCAGCACAAATATGATATAACAAAGCAATGGCTTACCAAATCAATATAGATGAAGCTCCAGATCCCCTGTAACGAGAGTTAGGAGGTATATTCGGAGAACAAATGTCTAGATTTTCACCTTTTGTTCGCTGATCAATTTTGCATGTGGCGACCTCTATTTCAAAATTAAATGTCGTTAAATTTGGTTTTGCTTTTGATGGTGGGCTATTTTGAAACTGATTTCAATGTGATATGTTTAGAGTTTTAGAGTTAGACAGTATGAAAGAAAATGAAATGGAATACAATGTTGTTGCAGGTGTTTCTCTATGAAGCAACTGTCGTAAACATGTTCATTTTCGATACACGCCGTAATGGTATCACTCCACTAATAGCTGATACATAAGGCAAAACTGCCCTAATTCACGTCACCATCAATGGGCAAAAGGGCAAACGCCTGACTTTTTATCTCGAGTTATGGATTTATATGGCCTCACTGGCCTATCTGAGGTTCTAAAGCTATGTCTAAGCTACATCTTGACACTAAACTCAATAGGATCTACTTTTTAAAATACAAATCCAGAAATTACCAGACACTTTCTTTATCAGGGGAGCTGTCAACACATCTGATAAGAAGTGTTCTATGCAGCTCTAGTGAAACTTGATGCTATGTTTTGGCAATACAAGATGCAGCCTACTTGTAAATAAAATACAGTTATCCATGTACGTAATATATGGTTCAACAAAAAACAACAACTAAAAAACAACAACTAAATATGAGAAACTAATGTGGTATATGCCATGTTTATGTGTCTGATCATATAATCTTGAAATTATCCATCAATTTCTTAAAAAATTGGCGAAATTAAGGAAACCAGAAAACACATTTGATGAAAGGGCGGTGTTTATAGCCTGTATGAAATGCCCCTGCATTAACGCTCACATATATGAGTTTTAAACATTAATTTAGTAGACTTTACTCACGTCGAGAGCTACCATGTTAGATTTTGAAAGTATAGCTCTCCATCGTGAGGATCTCCCAGCTGAAGAATTGTGACATCTTATTTTGATCAGCGCCAGTCAACGGCTTGCTGTTTGTCTCAAACTGTAGCCTACATTATGGGCTCATATGTGTCTACTTTCCCCGTGCATGTAGGATCGCGGATGTGCTTCTATGGCGATCAGGAGTTCTAATCGTTTATTGTTCGATACCCATTTCCAATATGGCGGTTAAACGGAAATACTATCGACGCATGCGCAACTTGGGAAACGTCAAGCCGCCATATTGAATATACCTGGCCAAAACTTTTGACACGACCAATAAAATGAAGTCCTGATCGATACATAGGGCAGTGAGACGTCTATAGTTGAGCTGAATGAAAGATGGCGATGTAGGATACATTTTCAGGTATATAATTTGCAACATGAGTCAGCTGAATTCCCTGAAATTTTCTTTGAAGTCAGGATTCTTAAGCTGTTGATTCTAGCGATAGAGAGCTATACTTTCAAAATCTAAGTAGCTCTCGACGGGAGTAAAGTAGACTAAAGTGTTGATACGAAATCTCAGTAATAGTACCAGTTAGGAGATAAGGTGATGTCCGATTTAACATTACGATTGCTGGATATGAATTGGTCAATTGTGACATTACCCCCTCTCTCTGCCGACACAAATTTAAATTCACAAAAATGAAGGCAAAATTAATACGCCACTTGACTCGAAATTTTCCTTCAGATAACCCAAATAAACGCATTTTCAGAAGAAATGGCATGTTGTCATTGCAAAAAGATGACAACTGACATACTAGCTTACTGACTCGTCATGATCACAATTGTGTTGGGACTACATTTATTTTTGAATACTACTTTTTTCAGCGGAAGTGACGTATTAGGGCATTTTGGCCTAAGGGGCACGGTTACGTGATAAGGGGTAACTCTACAATTAAATGCCCCAATATAATTCAATTGAAAAACATGGAAATCTTCGGATTTAGTATGAAAAAATGATTTCAGTTACACCACGATATTACTCCAAATGTCCCCATTAGAAGTAGAAATGTCTATGTTAGAAGTAGAAAGTGTCTCTAGAAAAAAGAGCCACCAAAATCAAAAGATCTGACCTTTTTTCCGCCATCTATTAGACATGTTAGAGTTTCAACTATTTTCAACAGATTTTAAACTCAAGACCACCGTCACAAAAAGCCAAATATTTGTAGTAAATCAAATCATTTCGACATACTTTTTCACTGGCGATTGCACTGAGTGATAAACTTGATTCCGATCAACCATCATCTCGATAAAAATGAAGACAACTTGTTTCAACATCGGAAACTCGGTGGAGAAAATCAATAGCTAAGACTAACATTAAGAGTATGTACGTCTCCGTCCCTAGTAAGACTCAATGACAATCCAGTGTCCAGCCATCAAAAAATTCTGAAAATTTTAAACATTGTTAATTTAAAGGGACAAAGTGCATAAATGAAGTCTCACTTTTGATCTTCATAGTATTTCCAATGGATAAATAAGTACCTGATCTTTCATTTGACACCAAAAACAGCTCAAACAGACCACATCAGAGTTGACACTAGATCATGAAAAAATATTTTTGATCTATCAATTTATATGTGTCAAGTTTTTAGCAATGCCATAGATAGATGGCATTGTTGTTTGCATTAATTTTCCATTCATTTTTGATAGGATTTTCAAGCATACGCCATCTTTTAATCCAAGAGTTATTTAAAACATACACTTTGTGAAAAGTGGTAATTCACTTTTTTCAATCTCTGAACTTCAAATGCCGTTTTCTATGCAAATAATTTTTTTTTCACTTCAGTATTATCCCAAATTAAAGTTTCTATCATATTTGATTGACTGTATGAGTGACATGTCTCAAATAATATTTTGTCCCTTTTCCTTCAAAAATAGACGCATTGCCTGTTTAATGGTCATCTTTTGAATGATAACAATATAATTTGACTAGATAAATATACGTTTCTCTATATTGTTTTAGAAAACACATCGGACACTTCTTTTGTTCTTGGTATCATATGCTCGGAAAGAAATGAAACATCTATCCGAACCTCATTGGAACAAAAATCTCACATACCATGGATATATCTCGAGAATGACTTTTGGGTATATTATTGCCGAAATATTGAAATCATGATCAACAGAACAACCAACCTCCAGAATTAAACACAATCGATTCCTCGGCTAGCGAGGGGAATCCCCATTGAGTCACACAAGCGGCAAGCGCCTTGAAACAACCAATCAGGAGGACAGGGGGACTTTCCTGGTATATTCAAACTTCAGATTGAATTAATTTCCGCGAAAATAATGTAGATCGGCCAGCACAATCGCAAAATTTATACTGAAAGAGGGGGATTCGGGACTTTTTCTATGGCAAGTAGATGGATGAATATATGGTGAAACTCAATATGCAAAAAGTCTAGAGGGGTCTCGATTGTGCTATCCCTATGGCATACAGCCAATCCGAAACATTGAACGATACCATGCAAGACTCTGTAACAGTAAACAACACATAAAATGAATTCACAAATCTTATTTTGACGGAAATGAGTGATAAACTACCACGTACAAATACAAATTATTAAATAACACCCTATGTATATAGTCTGTCACGTGACTTTATGGATGATGGGTGGGCGAACCGTTCGCAAGTCTTTTCTCTTCAGGTTTATAATGATACTTATTGTTTTAGACTTTGTATCTCTGTGAAACTTGAAAATATTGGAATAACAATTACGTCAGCAAATATCTATTTTCTTACTAAATCACTAATTGTTATTGGTACATGGCGTAGAATAATGGAAATAGCGTCATGAATCCCGGGACAATGAAACTCGGATTCAGTACGTCATAACCCTACTATCACACCAAACTAGTTTTCACTACGTTCTCGAAAACGGGCTTCAACTGGGTACGAACGGACTGGACGTATTTAGAACGGTTTGGGGTCTATTTACAAACGTCATCGAACGTACTCGAACGGGTAGGTCCTCTAGAACTTAGAACGGCATGTTCAAAATGTTCTCGTGGTCGATACGTTGTACAATTAGAACGAGTGACAACGTACTAACGACGAGCTGGACGTACTACGAACGGAACCGTCGTACTTTAATCCTACTAGGGACGTTTTAACAACGAGTTGAACTGTCTTAGGACGAATTGAGAACGAGGTTGAACTAATTGCAAACGGGTTTAAACTGATTAAGAACGTATTTAAGACTGCTCGATCATGAACGAGTTAGCAAACATATAGCTATCACACCAAACAAGTTGCCACTGCGTTCTTCAAAACTGGTTTTAAACTGTGTGCGAACGGAATGAACGTAACTGCAACTTTGTAAGGTCTATTTACGAACTTCATGAACGTTCTCAGATGGGAAGGTGATTTTAGAATCGATTCAAAATTCGATGGCGACCATACCGTTCTGTAATCAGGTCATGATGACCTTCTAGACTAAGGGACGCGTTATACGACGTTGCACACCGATGTGCTGCGACCTGAACGAACTGCGAATGAGATGGACGTATTGAGGACTGTTTATGAACGAAGTAGCTAATTATTTTAGACATATTTCCCGACCACCGCCAGATTGAGCCCATTTTACGACGTTTTCGTAGGACTGGCAAGAATGGATAAGAACTAGTTTGGTGTGATAGGGGGGTTAATGGTCAAAGTATTGACAAATTTGTAATGACCTTCGATAGCAACTCGCTACTACAGTCTCAGCTATAGTGGCTAGCCTTTATGGCTCAGGGGTAGAGCGTCTGACTCTGAGAGCGAGAGGTCCTGGGTTCGATTCCCGTACGGGGCATTGAATTTAGCACATTCTCTTTCGAGTCTAGTATCTGGCTCGGTACACTACAGCTCCCCGACGAGCGTGCCCAAGGGTCGTTACAAATTTATAACACTAAAGGCCGAAAGATTATGTGGCAAATATTGAAACGGGGGCTTTCAACATATTGTATTAGCTTTGATCTCTTAGAATCCGTTGAATCCTAAGCGATTGGAGTTGTTCAGATCACTTAACGAATATGAAATGATGAGGATTTGAGTTTTTTCAAAGTTTATAATGGCGGCCTATGGGGGATTTTAGCAAAATATCCCGAAAATTAAATCATTAAAAGTCCGAAAGATCTATGGATGGATTTTGCTGA